TTTTGTAGTTTATATATTTTTTAGGATTGATCTGTTACAGGGCATGAATTATTGTATGTGCAACTTTTTAAAAATTGACAAAAAATAGGTACTACGGTGAATGAAATAAGATTTTTAAGAAATCTAAGATTTCATCTCAATATTAGAAGCTCTATTATTATTATCTTGTAGTGTTATAATAAATTATGAGGCATGTATTTTATAACAGATTCTTTTTATACTACTCTATGAATATTTAGATGTGTTTTGTATTTTCTGGTAGAATTATTTTGTTGTTTTTTAATGAATATGGTGAAACTCTGAATTCACTTTTCTTATTTTCAAAATCAAAGAGCTAAATCTCCTGAGTTTATGTAAAGATTAATTGAAAAAATTAGGACTTATGATAAGAAAAGTCCAAGCCTCACAGTCCTAACTGAAATCCTTAACATTCCTTCAATGTGTAGGAAAAGGTTTGGGGTGTAGCTTATAAGATCAGCGAAGAAAAGCAGGAGGAAGTGATGGCCCATCTTGACCACAGGGAAAAGGATGGATATCAGCGCACACCAGTCACCTTCTTCCCTCAGGAGGCTGCGTTGAAACCCTGGGAACTTATTATATATTTAGGTAATTTTCTCCCTTAAAGTCTGGACCATTTGTTTTCTAGATATTTTTTGCAAGAATTAAGGATGTGATATAGAGGCTATATTGAAGCCCTGTGAACTTATATATATACTTTGTAAGTTGTGATTAAATTTTGTTACAGGAAGTTAATGCCATAAATCCAGTTTTAAATGATTATCAAATTGCAAGAGTAATGGTAGTGAAGTATTTCAAGATCTTACCCATATTGTGGTCACCTAACTTTCAATTGCATCAACATAAAAACAAATATAAATTAAATACAGTAGTAATGCAGTAAGTGAAGCATAATTTTCTAATGTATTACAAAATGGTTATTTACTACACCTACAGATTTAGTTCATTTGTGATTAGTCATAGGGAGGAAAATTCTAAAGAGATGAGTAATTTAAGCTTAAATATAATTTTTCTTTTCAGGTTCAGAAACAAACCCCTTTTATACAGGCCCAACAAAAGAAGATGAGATCGCCCAGATTATAGCATCAGCTGCCGGTCCGAGTGGTTCAAATAAGGAGTATCTTTTCCAGTTAGCTCAGACTATGAGGTCACTGAACATAAATGACAATCACTTATATAGCATAGAAAATAAAGTGAAAAGTATCATAGAAAATAGCAGTCAAAAGACTTAAGGTTGTACAATGTAAAACTTTGTATTTGAAAGATAGAGGGTAAAGTATGACAAAGCCTGGATGTTTTTATGGAATTGTGACTTCTGTAATTTGTGTTTACAACTAATTTTCTTCTTGGAGAAATCAATAGATTTTAAGAGACAGGGGGGGGAGAGAAATGCATTTTGACCTCTGTATTTAATTTTGTTTAAATGAGGTGGACAGTTGAGGATAAGGACATATGTTCAGTAAATGCAAATGAATGTGTTGACTTCATTGTGACATTGAGTTTGTTCATTGTTATGAATGTTTCATGTTTTATATTATATTTCAAGAGTGTGGACATTTGATAGACAAAAATAAACTTATATAAATACTGAGATATTAAAATCAGTTTCAAATATTTTGTTTCTTGCTTAAAGCTGTGATACATCACAGAAATGGAAATTGTGACATGAGTGTAAATTATTATTATTCATTACTGTTATTCTGAGTTACTATGTGATCACAAACAAAATACTTTATTTTTTATATTTCATAAATAATGCTGATTTAACCTTTGCCCAAGTTTGCAAGACTATTTAAAAAATGTGCTTTGTAAAAGGAATGTGAGTTTGAAGATCATATATACTGGAACAGATTTTGCCAGTGAAGAGAAAGTTTCTAGAAGGCATTATGGACTTGACTTTTATGAATATTTATTTTAAGGCTAATAGTGAGAATTTTTATTTTTGTGGTCTTTTAAAGCCTTGTTGAGGCCACCTTAAAAATCTAGTTTTAAAGTATTAACCCAACCACCACGGAATTATGTTCTGGCAAATGTAGTTTTTTGTGAATTTTGTTACATACAGATGGCTCCACATGTGCTCAGCTGGCAAGGAGTCTATCAGTAGGTCCTAGTGATCAATCCTGATTTCCCTATTCCTTGAATTGGTGGGAAAATGTGTTTTTCTTTTTAATACAACTGATATTATTAAAATCTTGGTAACATTTTAGACAATGAAATAATGCAGAAGACCCTTTCCAAAAGTCAAGGAAAAGGATAAACAGGGGAGATAAGTAGGACTTATAACTGACTCCTTGGTGATTAAACAGTTGTAGAGCCATCTATGTGTAAATACAAAAAATAAACTTATATTACAGGTGGGCATGGCTTGTATTCTTGCCATCCGTGCCAATTGGTTTAATGCACAAATACCAGACTAGAAAGTACAGTACCTCTTGATGAGATCTCCTAATGAACTTTGCCTTAGCAAGTGCTGGTGCTGAAATTCCTCCTTGGTGCACTTTTTTATTTATCTGTGCAAGTGCTCTAATATCAGGATGATGATAACATCATGTGCACGCTATTGAATGACTTTCTAGATTGTAGTAAATAAAGAAGTAATGTTCACTATAAAAAAGAAAATTGTTCTATCTATTATTAACCCATTGGATCTGGGTAATGTTATTGTCACGTCATGAAAAAATGGAAAAATTGCTGAGGTCCAGGAAACAGGAATATGCTGTCCTGGAAAATTTTCTACTGGGAAATAAGAGTGCAGCCATGGCTGGAAATTGTACAGGGCCCAGGGGGGGACCCTATTTCCATGCTCAGGATCCTATTCTAGTGGAGCAGGGTATGTTACAGAAAATATAGAAAAATCAATATGATAATAAAAAAAATATATATATTGTAATGTTAATGTTATTGCACAGAGTTGTAGAGTACCAAGGGAGATACTATGGAGTCTGCTCAATGAAAAGTCTGAGAAATGATAGGGAGAAAAGGAGTCAGGTGTTTGAGATGTAGAGGAAGAGATATTTTATTTATTTATTTATTGAAAATTTTCTGCTGAATGAACATCTAAAGTCATTAGCAGCTTATTCAAAATATAGTGATAGGGTAAGGCTTAGGGGCAAAGGTAAGGAAGTGCTATATGACATCAAAGGGTTAGGAATGAATTAATGATTAGGGTAAAGTTACAGGTTGAACAATACTAGAGGATGAAAAGGGTAGAGAGGGGGAGCTGATGGGGTATAGTATAAGGTAAAGGTTGTTAGAAGGGAAGAAGTTAAGGGAATAGGGAGTATTATGATAAAGTACTGTGATGAAAATGGCAAAAATGAGTTTAATGATTAGGACAAGTGGACAGAACAAAGGAATGAAGAAAAGGAAAAGGAAAGGAGGAGAGGAAAAGAGCATGGAGGTGAGGGCTGGGGACCAAGGCAGGGGTGATCCCCTACATTGGGCCTCAGTCCCCGTCTCCCAATCCCCCCACAATAACACCAAGCAAGGGACGGGGAGAGAGGAAGAGGTAGGTATAGGAAATGGTGTGGTAGATGGTGGGGTAGAATGTTTAGATTGTCTGGTGTGATGGGTAGAGCAAGAAGGCACCAGGGAATTAGTAGAAATTGGAATGTATGGATTTAGAATGGCAATAGTATTTGACTGGTAGAGGGAGGGGGTAGAAGTGGAATAAATACTGAAGAAATTTAGAAATATTTTGGGAGGAAGATGAATGGGTGGAGCAAAGGACAGCACAGGATTGAGGGTAATAGAAAAAACTCATCAGCATGCTTTCTGTCTGGCCTCCCCTGTAAAGTGAAGTTTGAATCTGAGAACTGCCACCTCAGACTCAAACTTGTAGGTAGGGCAGCCCCTATAACATACATTGTGGGAGCTACTACAATTGGCATACATGCATGCTTGTGCAAAGCATTTTGAACAGTCATGAAAAGGCTGGACACATAGAGGATAGGTCCCTCCTGCAATCTAAACATCATAAGAGAAGCTATGGTAATCTTATTAATATTGGTGGACTTATATTGTAGTAATGTACTGGTACTGCATCATAGTCAACAAGAAAGGTGACCAAGGCGCTTCCACAATCTGACCAATCCTTGTCATAGGCAGGGCAATCTGCTGGGTAGATGGAAATAGTTCTGGTACAAGTATTAAGGGCAGAAATATGATTGCCAGTGAGATCAGTCAGGGTAGATAATTTCTGAGTTTGGGACTTTGAGTTTGACAAGGTGAGAATAATGGAGATGATTGTGGAAGGAAACATTGCCTACTTGTTTTTGGAGATACTGTTGGAAGAGGAGAGTGTTGAGTAAGGGGTTGCAGGGGGTGGATCACAAAAAATTGATTCCATTTAGCTGGGTTACAAAACAATACTTAAAAGGTTTGTAGAGGTGGGAGTAGTTGAAGGATGGGAGAGAGAGGGGATAGTGTTGAGAGAGACAGTACTGCAGGTAGGGGGGCAATAAGAAAAAATAGTAGTAGGGGAATAGGGGGTAGAAAATGAAGACTGTGGAGGATGAGGAGATGGAGTCAAAGATGTTGGAAGAGAGGACTGAGCTGACAGCAGGTATTGACAAGGGGGCAGGAGTAGCAGTGTTTAGTTTGGGAACTGGAAATGTTGAAGTCAGTGGGGCTAGTTGATAAAGGGGTAAACCTCAGTGCCCCGAATAAGGGTACAAAACCATTAATGACCATAGTATCCCTAGAGTATATGAGAAAGAGAAATGGTTCCCTCCTTAAGATCAACAAGTAAGGGCAAGGCAACTAAATGGGTATACCATACCCATGACTCCCTAAAGCTGTTTAAGGACAGACCCAAAGCCAACCTATAATCCTTTCAACATGGCTCTCATACTTTAGAAAGTGGACAGAAGGGGTTGAAAAGAAGAAGGAAAAGTAAAATCTGAGAAAGAAGGCAATGCAAACCTGGTTGAGCCTAGGGCTGAGACCCAAGGTAGGGGGAATCCTCAACATTGGGCTCCAGCCCTTGTCACAACAAAGGGAATGGCGTTTAATGTGGCAAAACAAATGACACTTAGAGACTTGGAAAATGGTAAAATGGTAAAAAGAAAAGAAAAGAAGAAGAAAAAGTAAATAAATAAAGATAAAAATAAAATGTGTATGCAGAAAATGAGATGATAATATTGCAATGGAAAGACAAGGAGTATGTGTGGGCTGGGCCTACAAGCTGCACATCCAAGAGTTGGCAAGCAAGTATGCTAATGACTAGATTTTGGTCTATGTGCAAGCTGTGAGGCACCTGAATATGGACTTTATGACCACAGACAAATTGCGAGACATTTTGGGTATGAATAAAAGAATATTTAATGGTTAAAAAGCAAAAAAAATATGCTAAGACTATCAAAGATCACTATAAGAAGGCATAGTATCACGAAGAGTAAAGAATGGGGGTTAAAAACTAGATGATACAATTCAACAGTTGTACAGCAGTAGGATGGTATTGGAAATGGTAATGAAAAAAAAGAAGATGAAAAGAAAAGTGAATGAAAGGAGTCTTACCTTTTTTATTTTTCATTTAATAGAACCAAGTTGAATTTTTTTTTTCTTCACCTTGACAATATGTTGTCCTAAGAACTTGTCATAAATTACTGTAACACATGATTTTTCTAAACGAAACTGAGTCTACTTTTTTGTGTACTTATATTCTTTCCTTAAAAACAAAGACAAAAGGCAATAGGATATTGGAAATAAAACACACATGATCTGCCAAAGAAGAAAATTTATATTGTAACTAGCACACATCAAGGTTTGGCAATTTTACATTTCTTTATAGGATTGCACAGGACATGCGGAGAAACTTACAAAATCATTAAAGAAAATATTCTGAGTAAAAGATCAAGAAATGAAAGAAAAAGAAAGAAAGAAAAGATGTACACTTTGGATGGAAACAGAAAACAAAAATATGCAGAGTTTTGTAGCTGCTGACTAGAATATTTATTGTAGATAGGTGATGTATGCTCTACATCATGTGAAGTTACATAGTACCTATATGCATAGAACAAAACATAAATACTGTATTATTCCCTGAAATGGGGAAAAAAATAGCAATACAAGTCATTTGCAAGAGCAATACAATAATACACTAAAATGCCTCTTCAGTTGAGAATCTTGCTTTCTTTCAAATATATATCTAAAAGAGTATACAACCTGTCTTAATGGATGCTTTATTTGATTACACTTTGTTATTTATCTGGTTTTGGAAACCAGCAAAAACTTAAAACTATGGATTATATCACTTACTATTTTGTTTACAAACATACCAAGGGTACAAGCTGCATGTAAGATTATATATATATTTTATGTATGTGTATGTGTGTGTGTGTATGCCTGTAGTATGTGTATATGTATGTAAATATGTGTGTTTATGTATGTATGTATGTATGTATGTGTTTATTGATATATATATACATTGGATGACAATCAATTTATATTTATACTGAAGCAGTTACTGCTTTGGACATGTTTACTTGCAATGAAATCTTCTATACTTCATCAAAGTACATGAATCTTTACCACAGACCTGAGATATATATGAAAAAATTGGTAGTTATGCCTTTGCATTTGCTCCTGACTTGACCCCCCCCCCCCCCCAAAGGAAAGAAGAAATATCATATGACTTCATCACTATTTGGGATATACAAGAGAGCATCAAGTGATTATAATGATAACTAAAACAGTCTTTTTCTCTATATACATACTGGATAGCCATAAAGAGAGCGGAAAAAAAGAGTGACTCTATACTTAGATGCAATACACAACCATACTGGAGGAACTCAAAACACACTAACTAAGTGAAAACTCACAGTAAAACTAAGACTCCCTTGGAACCTTCTTGACGACTACACTGGCCTGTGATACCATGTGAGTATGTACTTGCAGCACCGTATGACTACTTACTTCAGCTTTGTGATCCCTTCTGCAGCATAAGACGTCATGTAAATGAAACTGTCTTGGACTTGGAACACTTCTTAAATCATTGAGAGCTTGAAGTGTGTCACTAGTCATAAAATTTTAACTTTTTACGGATAATTTTTTTTTTTTACCATGTCTTACATTTGACTGCAGATATATGAACCAGTCTCATACACTGAAGAAAAAGAAGAGGAAGAAAAGGAAAAGGAAAAGGAAAAGAAAGAGTAAGAGAAAGAGCAAGGGGAAAAGGAAGAAGATGAAGAGAAGGAAGAAGAAAATGATAATAACATGAAGGGCATCCATCACTACAATTCTGAACATCACAATAATTCCACAATAATTGGTCTTGCCTACAAATCCCCTATTACAGAGAATATAATATTTTCATCAATGAATTATCTTTGCTATACATAATTCATTCAGAAATGGTCAACACTATCTTCCTTCAAGACAAAAAAAAGACACCAAAGACAGCATTCACTATCGACATTTAAGAGAAGAGATTCTTGGTCCATTGATATTCCTAGAAGATGTGGAAGTTAGAAAAAAAGTGTCTACATAGATGCACTTATGTATACAAAAAAACTAAATATACACATGTATGTATGTTTGTAAATGTAAATGTAGGTGCATCTGTATATCATGTGACACAGTGGGAGTTCTCATATGCTATATGAGACTATGTATACCTGTATATTTATATTTATATGTATGCATATGTAAGTGTGTATGTATACAGATCAGCTTGTATATATGAGTGATATAATTATATATTTGTACAAGCTGGCAAGTAAACACAAACACACCAATATACCTATAAGTTTACATTTCCATATTCTATACACAAATATTTATTTGTTACCCTTCAAGGAAATCATTTTATAATCAAGATGAACAAACATCAGCAACATATATAATACATTGCTTTGACCTGTCTTTAATGTCAAAACTAGACACACACAAATACCCAACCATCTAATTGGATTCAAAAGATCAGACAGACTATCCTCAAAGTTGTCTTGGACAAACTGCATTAATTCAATCCCCTTCAAGCAAGTCACTCAATTTCTTACAACTATATTCTTGATTCACACAGTTTAATTACTCAGAGCACCGTCAACTGCATCAACCTCATAAACTTCTACACTTCTTGAAATCATTCAAGATACTCTGGATGTTTATATAGAGCTTAATTTTCTTTTGCTGCAGATCCACTATTTTAAAAAAATATGAGCATATATATGAGCAGTAACTCCTCACTATTTGTTCACCATAATGATAACATGCATCACAGTCACTTTACCCATTCCTACAAATATCATCAGGACCATCATGATTTACAATACACATATTATACAAGTCTTGTTGAAAAGGAAAAGGAAAAGGAAAAGGAAAAGGAAAAGGAAAAGGAAAAGGAAAAGGAAAAGGAAAAGGAAAAGGAAAAGGAAAAGGAAAAGGAAAAGGAAAAGGAAAAGGAAAAGGAAAAGGAAAAGGAAAAGGAAAAGGAAAAGGAAAAGGAAAAGGAAAAGGAAAAGGAAAAGGAAAAGGAAAAGGAAAAGGAAAAGGAAAAGGAAAAGGAAAAGGAAAAGGAAAAGGAAAAGGAAAAGGAAAAGGAAAAGGAAAAGGAAAAGGAAAAGGAAAAGGAAAAGGAAAAGGAAAAGGAAAAGGAAAAGGAAAAGGAAAAGGAAAAGGAAAAGGAAAAGGAAAAGGAAAAGGAAAAGGAAAAGGAAAAGGAAAAGGAAAAGGAAAAGGAAAAGGAAAAGGAAAAGGAAAAGGAAAAGGAAAAGGAAAAGGAAAAGGAAAAGGAAAAGGAAAAGGAAAAGGAAAAGGAAAAGGAAAAGGAAAAGGAAAAGGAAAAGGAAAAGGAAAAGGAAAAGGAAAAGGAAAAGGAAAAGGAAAAGGAAAAGGAAAAGGAAAAGGAAAAGGAAAAGGAAAAGGAAAAGGAAAAGGAAAAGGAAAAGGAAAAGGAAAAGGAAAAGGAAAAGGAAAAGGAAAAGGAAAAGGAAAAGGAAAAGGAAAAGGAAAAGGAAAAGGAAAAGGAAAAGGAAAAGGAAAAGGAAAAGGAAAAGGAAAAGGAAAAGGAAAAGGAAAAGGAAAAGGAAAAGGAAAAGGAAAAGGAAAAGGAAAAGGAAAAGGAAAAGGAAAAGGAAAAGGAAAAGGAAAAGGAAAAGGAAAAGGAAAAGGAAAAGGAAAAGGAAAAGGAAAAGGAAAAGGAAAAGGAAAAGGAAAAGGAAAAGGAAAAGGAAAAGGAAAAGGAAAAGGAAAAGGAAAAGGAAAAGGAAAAGGAAAAGGAAAAGGAAAAGGAAAAGGAAAAGGAAAAGGAAAAGGAAAAGGAAAAGGAAAAGGAAAAGGAAAAGGAAAAGGAAAAGGAAAAGGAAAAGGAAAAGGAAAAGGAAAAGGAAAAGGAAAAGGAAAAGGAAAAGGAAAAGGAAAAGGAAAAGGAAAAGGAAAAGGAAAAGGAAAAGGAAAAGGAAAAGGAAAAGGAAAAGGAAAAGGAAAAGGAAAAGGAAAAGGAAAAGGAAAAGGAAAAGGAAAAGGAAAAGGAAAAGGAAAAGGAAAAGGAAAAGGAAAAGGAAAAGGAAAAGGAAAAGGAAAAGGAAAAGGAAAAGGAAAAGGAAAAGGAAAAGGAAAAGGAAAAGGAAAAGGAAAAGGAAAAGGAAAAGGAAAAGGAAAAGGAAAAGGAAAAGGAAAAGGAAAAGGAAAAGGAAAAGGAAAAGGAAAAGGAAAAGGAAAAGGAAAAGGAAAAGGAAAAGGAAAAGGAAAAGGAAAAGGAAAAGGAAAAGGAAAAGGAAAAGGAAAAGGAAAAGGAAAAGGAAAAGGAAAAGGAAAAGGAAAAGGAAAAGGAAAAGGAAAAGGAAAAGGAAAAGGAAAAGGAAAAGGAAAAGGAAAAGGAAAAGGAAAAGGAAAAGGAAAAGGAAAAGGAAAAGGAAAAGGAAAAGGAAAAGGAAAAGGAAAAGGAAAAGGAAAAGGAAAAGGAAAAGGAAAAGGAAAAGGAAAAGGAAAAGGAAAAGGAAAAGGAAAAGGAAAAGGAAAAGGAAAAGGAAAAGGAAAAGGAAAAGGAAAAGGAAAAGGAAAAGGAAAAGGAAAAGGAAAAGGAAAAGGAAAAGGAAAAGGAAAAGGAAAAGGAAAAGGAAAAGGAAAAGGAAAAGGAAAAGGAAAAGGAAAAGGAAAAGGAAAAGGAAAAGGAAAAGGAAAAGGAAAAGGAAAAGGAAAAGGAAAAGGAAAAGGAAAAGGAAAAGGAAAAGGAAAAGGAAAAGGAAAAGGAAAAGGAAAAGGAAAAGGAAAAGGAAAAGGAAAAGGAAAAGGAAAAGGAAAAGGAAAAGGAAAAGGAAAAGGAAAAGGAAAAGGAAAAGGAAAAGGAAAAGGAAATTGACAATACATTGATATTCTTATTTGACTACATTTGAATTGTCTGTACTCTGAGCCCTCTCATTTACTGCTATGTTAAAATAATTTTGGTGGTTTTACCAAACTATAATCTCAGACATATTTAAATGCCACATTCTCTATATTTCCATACATTTTTTATTTTTACTGACAAATAAACACTTTCTTGTTTGTTATGGCAAGCTATATAAATAAAAATTATTCAAATTGAGCAAAGTGTCATGGTTTATTACAATTACTTTTTTTTTGTAAATTTACCGTAACAGAAATATTGGCGTATTATCACCACCATAAAAAACCTCTTCCTCTTTTAATTATTCAACTTTCATCCTCAAGACACTTTTGAGATTCCAAGCATCTTTTACTAATATATACATTTTTGGTTCTATGCCCCAGTAACACCACTATGTTCCCTCTACTTAACACCCCTAACCTACCTTCATTTTAATCCTCCAAAAATCTCAAACCTAACCAATAAGAAAGTGGGGAAAACCTTTTTCTTTTCTTTTCTTTTCTCATTTTACTAAAGTAGGTTTCTAGTATGCTAAAATCAGTTTACAGAGGCATTGTTATGAGGCTTAGTTACAGTAGCTGTTATATGACTCATTTTCTACATATAATAAGTTTGTGTAGTTATACTGCTTTCCCAGTTCATTGCAAAGCATCATTTGGTATCATTAGCATTGAGTAATATCAACTTGACTCATGTCCAAGACCTCTCACCTTTACGACTTTTTCCCCTGCCAAAGTTATCTAAATTATAACCAAAGGCATAAACATAACCATTGTTTTTATGAACCCCTATCTCCCTAACCTAATACAGTGCAGGTATCTAACAGGGAAAGAGAGAGAAAAAAAGAGAGAGAAAAAAAAAGAGAGAGAGAAAGAAAGAAAGAAAGAAAGAAAGAAAGAAAGAGAGGAAAAAAAGGAAACAAAGGAAAAACAGAAAAAGAAAGAAAGAAAAATTGAGAGAGAAGAGAAGAGGAAAAAAATTACTAACTAAATAAATTTGCAAATGAATCATCTGCAGGGATTGGGATACGTATTAACAATATTACACAACCATTATTCTATTTTGGTTCTCCATTCTTTTATCATATCTAAGTATAAAAGATGATTTCTGGGATCTGTCCATCTTCAACGGATGTACCATTGTTATTTCCAGCTGCATATGTGAACTGGAAGGTTGCTCTGTCACCTGATGAACGGATGTACCATTGTTATTTCCAGCTGCATATGTGAACTGGAAGGTTGCTCTGTCACCTGATGGACATTCCACCGCCACCTTACGCATTCCTTTGGTTCCGTAGTGAGAATCTGGACCCTGAATATATCAAAAAGGTATATAAGCAACAAATATAAAAGCTAGATTCAGTATCAACTTGTCGGGAGAAATTTATCTGCACTTAATAACATACATTATTTACATGGAACTTTTTATTTCTCAATATCCATATGCAAATTTGTATCCCTTATCATATTAATCCAATGCCACTTGGAAAATGTAGTGTTCACTGTAGTATTGTTTCAAGAAATGTATCTACATATACATGGCTTCACAAGTGCTTGGCCACCAAGTTGTCACTTAATTGACCTCAACTAGAATTTCTGGGATTTCTATCCCCCCCTAATGCTATCAGTATTGATGCTGCTATTAAAATATTTCTGAAAATCAAGGAAAAGGGTAAACAGGTGTGATAGGTAGTACGAGTAATAGCCTTATTGTGGAGCCAGCTATGTGAAAAGACAATTAATAAACTATTTAAATACCATCCCTGGTGGCACTGAGTTAAAAGGAGCCCATAATAATTTCAAATACTGCATGATAGATATAATACAAGTTATCAAGCTCATGATAAATTTTGATTGTGTCTACTAAATCTGCCACCAACCGTAATTGCCCTATTTGCATGCAACAGTGTCTGTCTAGGTATTCTGAAGAATTCATATACCCTGAGGAAATATTAATTAATCTCCTCATGATGGGATATCCCCATACCATACTAAGCCTCATGCTGGGCTTTGTGCAGTCAGTCATGTAAGTGAAAATCTAGACACGTGGGAAAGAAATGTTTACCCTACTCTCTGCATCTCCTCAGTGACTGCAGTAAGAGCTAAACAAGTGAACAACTCAGAGCAGGTTTGACTGTGCATGGGATGGGTGCTAGTCACCTGGCATTTGGCTTAGCTTGCCATGACATGATAAGTAATCATTTGGTATGAATGGATTGAATAAGTTGCCTATATTCTTCTGAAATGTGCTATCCAATAAGAAGTGGTGTATGGCGCATTTTTCATTCAACCAAGTTTCATCTTTCAGTGCATGCGAATAGGCAAGGTATAAAAGACAGAGAAATGTAGTCAATTATATACATTTGCAAAGATAAGAAAAATCAGTTAGTATTGGTTAAAAACATTAACCAAATAATGAATCTTGGTGCAAGTGTATTTTGATACCAGACTCACCTTCAGTGTAGCATAAGCAGTGTAGTTAGTGTTGGGCAGCACCTCAACGGGCTCCTTAAACATGACACGAAATGTATTCACAGAACCATCAGATGTAAAGTTTGTGTCGTTGCTTGCACACACCTAAAAATCAACACAAAGTATAAGCCATGCACATTACTGAAGATTCTTTATCTCAGGATAAATGTATAAAATCCCAACAAGTGTGCTGAAATGACCAATATCAATGTTTAGTATGCACCCCACATTTTTCTTCTTTCAGTCATTTCTCAACTTAAAGCAACTGAAATGAGAAGACAAAAAGACAGAAGGAAAAAAAACACTCGGATAAAATCAGAATTCTTTTCATGTATGTCTATTGAGTAAAATGGGACTGTTGGTTTGTGTGAAGATGTTGTAGTATCCATACCTACTTTGTGTTTGCTCTATAGCAGCTAAAGCCCAAACCATGGCTACATGTGTGCCTGCAAAGTCAGAGCAGAATCTGACTGCCTCCCCTAGGTAACAAAAGGTCAGCCAAGGGGCTGACTCGGGATGCTTCCCAATTCTTCAGAGAAGCAGGGTAAATTGCCTCATTGGTAATGAGCCCCCTGCATAGGGCCCTGGCCAGACATTTGCCCATGGAAATGAACCCTACTGTAGACCAGGTCATGACACCCCATTGCTCATGGCGATGGGCTCCCTAGTGACCAGGGATACAGCCATCCCTATGCCTATCCACTCCCCCATGAGGGTAATGATAAGGTTTGCAGTACAAGCAGTGAATTATCATATAAGCAAGTAGTGCAAGCAGTGACCGCAATGCTGAGAGTGTAGACACAGCCTGGGATGATACTTTTGAATAACTTAGAAAACATTATGACACTGAGGACATAGCCAAAGCACATAATACTGCTATTGAACTGTCTGATGCTAGACATTCCATGAATTGAAAATAATGAATTAACCTGATCTGGAGAGATCATGTGAACTGGTGTCATAATAAACAGTTTGGTCTGTGGGGTATGCCTATACATGCGTTGCCGCACCAGAGCACTGCAGAGTGGGATGTTCTGCTTGATGTGGTGGACTCCTGCACCCAGTGTCTGAATGTTGCTCAGGGATTTCTGTTACTCAGCAGTAATGGTTTAACATCACATATCAAACAATATATTAGAAAAGTGTAACATCATTTTTGCAACAACAACAACAGAGATGCTCTTAACCCAATGGTGACGGGTGAAGAACCTCCCCCCCCCCCCTAAAAAAAAACAAAAAAAAACTCTATGCTCTGGCGAACCATGGCAGCGCACCGACTTTGAGCGTGTGAGTTCGGTACATCAAGCCGAATCACTGGCTCGCCGCCGCAGCCTAGAGCCGCACACCACATTTTGAGCGGTTTGTTTTCACGCCTAGCGGCTTCACCCGTCATAAAGGAGTTAACGGACTGGAATCCACTTGTTTAAAGGCAGGATATCTTGATGCCTTTCACAAAATTTATCAATAAAATGAAAAAGAAAGTGGAACATCTGTGTGACCATCATGTCACGAAAAAATCTGGCTGTGGGCCTGGTGACATGAATATACCATCATGAAAAAATTTGGCTGAGGGCTGGTGTGAGGGGAATATGCCAACATGAGAATTATGGCTGAAGGAGTGACTCGCCACTAGTGCACAAAGCTCTTGGAGGGTGATTAGAATCAGTGAGTATTTATAGACTACCTAGAGAGATAATATAAAATCTGTGCTGGGAAACATTCTATTATCATCTTCATAAATTATACTAAATTACAAATATACACACTGGAAAATGATAAAACAACAAAAAATTCTTATGCAGAAATACAGATAATAACACTGCAAAGGGGAGGGAAAGAGTTTTGACACTGCATACTAGTGTTGTGTGGGCTCAGCCGACAAGCCACACACTCAAGAATTTTCACCTGTAAACATAGGTGGAATGTACCATCTGTGAGCAAAGGCTGGAAGAGTTCTGGCTCCAATGAGGACATTATTTCTATATTCAAATACAGATCTTTGAAAGAGGCAAAAATGCAAAAAAAATACATGAACAGAAAAAGAGATAATAACATTACAAAGACAAGGCAAAGAGCCTTGAAACTGCAAACGAGTGTTTGTGTTGGCTGGGTCTACCAATCTGTCAAGCAAATCTCAACCTCTTTGGGAATGTTGTGGTGTTTGAAAGTCTAATAGGTCTGGTAGTCTCAGGTCAGCATTGCATGGTTCTCCCCCTCTTTACCATATCTCCCCTCATAATGCAACCTCCACACATACATTCTCCCATCAAATTTTCTCCTTAGACACCCATATCAATGCTTATGATCCCTACCAACTGACCACCACCCTCATACTCATACTAACTTTCTAATCAGACACAGCAAGTGGAGTAAACAAAATAACAAAGGAAAGTGATAAGTGAGAAGACACCATTCCCTCCCCACACATGACAGCAAACAGCCAAAAGGGTGATGCAAAGTATCACTACCTGATGTTCTCCAGCCTGACAGCAACAGCAAGATGCTTATTGTGATAAATAATGACTATGGTTACAACATACTATGCTAGGACGCTTATAACTCAAATAACAAGTAAGGATATGCTCACAGAAAATGGAAACAAGAAGAAAAACAAAAGCAAACAAAGCTCTATTGCAAAAGCCTACAAGGGAGACCTTAACTTCTACATAATGAAATGTCACCCAAGCACTGGGGAAGCAGATACTGAGAATCATCTGCTCCTTAAAGTCAGAATCCTTCCCTATCATTGTAAGGGTTTTTCTAAACAGAAACTGGTACTAAACCTCACAGCCTTAGCAGGGTGTTTGACCAAAATGACTCAACACAAGTACCATACAAATAAAGCAGGCAAACCTGACTTCGTAATGAAACCAAATCCTATTGATATTGCAGAAATCACAGAAACAGTTCCAAAATCATACTCTCTCACCCTTGGGGACCATAGACAAGTAAAATTTGATGATGACCTATGATGACCTTGAACCCTTGTGAACTTAGTGAAAAGGTAATCTGCAGGATATGGTTCCCACCCTAAGACATCTTCAAAGAAGTCCTCTAAGAACAAATAATAGCAAAGTTTTCCTCTTTCTAAATCCATAAAAATGGACACTGGATAGTTTTCTTATAGTAAAAAAAAAAGAGAATATCTTAATCTTCTGTATGAAATTAATGCATATATAAGTGTTTTTATTAAAAAGAAAAGAAAACAATAAAGATAATAAAGGAAACGAGAATAATTAAATATGCACATATCTAATTTCCTTTTGTTTTTCCCTCAGGCTACACCTATGTTTGGACCTATGGAGTTAGCTGATTCCATATACTTGGATATACACTACTTTGGTTAGCCATAAAATGAATGAATGAATGAATAAAAAAAGTGAAATGGCAAACACACAAATTAATGTTTTTTTCTGAATAATATGATACCAGTCCTCTCCTCACTGGTCCAAAATTGACCTGAGTAAGGCTTAGCAGAATCCTACCTTTCATTTTTTTTTTCTTTTTTGACTGCAGAAAAGACCCAAATGGTTCAGTGTTAAAAAAAAAAATCATTAAGAGCTCCAACACACATAGATACAAGGGGAAGAAGAACAAGAACAAGAAGTAGACATAAATAGAAAAAAGAAAGAGATGATCCCATAAGCATGATCTTATCCTAAATTATTTGTTATAAAATCAGAAGTACATGCAACTGATTTACTCTTTAAAAATCTTGCAAGTATTCAAATAGTTTTTATGTAAGTGATCTCATACGAAAGAATGTGGATATCAACATTACCATGTTAACATCATGAGTACATACACTGTCCACTGTGATTTTATTCAATAAATTTTGCTTACAAAAAAGATGGCTCTAAACATGTTATGCCACAAGGGAGTCAAAAGTTTAAAAAGTGAAGCTTTTATACAAAGCGTCAATGACAATCTACTTGTGAAGCTCTGTTAGAAAAATGAATTAAATAAAACCACAGTAAACATGTAACTGGCACCCACCAAGAGTTAAAGTAAAACCTAATAACAATTGAATAAAGTTAGTGTCAAGCATTAGAAAATCTTGTATGAACTCAATGCCACTGGGAAATTGCTGTGCTCAATTTTTCTTTTTTCTTTTTTAATGTCTCTGCACATAGATGGCTCTGCTAGTACTTAGCCACAAAGGAGTCAATTTGTAGACCTGTGACCTTACCTGATTTTACATTTCCCTGAATTGGCAGGAAAAACATTTTTTTCTTTCTTTACTAATGCTAGGAATACCAATGGTGTTATTTCATTTATAGACATTATGAATACTATGCTATAGCCACTAGTAACACCAATATAAGATAACGTAAAATATTTTCAATCAAGGAAAAGGGGTAAACAGGCAAGACAGGCAGTACTCGTAATTGACTCATTGGTGACTTAATACAAGTGTAGCCATCTATGTGTAAAACCAATTAATAAAGTAAATTCACACTAGGCATGTAATGTATGTACATGCCATGCCCGTCAGATTTCAATTAACAGCACTTCCCATTAACATAAAAATGAAAAAAGAAGAAAAAAGGGTGAGAGGAAAAAGAAAGAAAGAATGAAAAAAAGTCATTAACCAACCAATAAAAATAATGTACCTTGGTGCAAATGGTACAAGTCTTTTCCTACCTTTCCTGTTGCTGTATGGATGATCTGAATGGTCACCTCGTACTCTGACGGCCCATGGATGGACCCATACATTCCAAAACCAACTACAAATATGCGACGGTCAACTATGAACCTGTAAAATTATGTTTCATAATTTTATGACACTATTTCAGAAAGAAAGAAAGAAAGAAAGAAAGAAAAAATATATAAATACAGACAGATATATACATATATATATATTCCTAAAAATGCTAAATTATAGAATGTAAATTTCTTTTTTGTATTACTTGTAGACAACTGTCAGCTAGATAACCTTCCTGATTATTCAGGTAACATAAGAACTAAATAAACATAAATTATGTAGAATCAAAAGAAAGGATAGAATGTTGCCATCCTTTTCATTTTTAACAAATTTACTAACAAATGCAACCTACCTAATTCTATCACTTGTTCCAGAATACCCCCATCTGGACTCAATCTGCTGGAAACGACACACTGTCTGCTCCTTGCCGGTCATGCAGCATCTTGGAACATCTAGGAAGTTGACCGGGGGTTTTGGGTTGACCTGCATCGAGAGAAGGTTTGTTACATTGATTTGCCTTATTGGGGAGATTTTCACTTAATGAGACAGGCTTGATTGGTTAGGATTGAAAATATTCTACATTCGGTAGCAATTTCTAACCTAATATATGCTTTGTTTGGGCTATTAGAATTTTGAATCAATGTTATGATGGCTAGGTATGGCACAAATATATACTATAAAATAGGCCAGTCCTTGTGGAAATATAAAAATTTTCAAAGGTGACTCAATGGTGCAATGCAATAAGGGATAAGGTACAGGAAAATAAAATTTAAGATATCTTAAACTTGCCGTGAAGTGGAGAAAGAGCTGGACAACCTCACGGTCCGTAAGAATGCCTGACTGTGCTGGTCCCTGAGCAAACTCTTCCACAGTCATGAGAGGAAAACGAATGAGAGACAGAGCTCTGCCTAACTCTTGTCTCTGATTAGCACTAGTTACAGATAAACCCTCACGCTCACACTCTGCCTCTGACCACCTGTTAGGAGATAATTCTTCCTTTAGGTATTTAGCTGCAGAGTTCCTTATTTACTATTATTTCCAAGTACATTGAAAAAAATAATCAATAAAAAATAGTTTAATGGCACAAAAATACAATATCTATGACAGGAGTACTTCACAATTTTCAACACATATATCTTACCTGACAGTTGCTTGAAATAGCTTGGCCTCTCGAATCCTCAAGGTATCTCTTTCTAGCACCAGACACAGGGTGTTATGGTCAATATCTGTGAACCCTTCGGCTGCTAGTGAATCTTCAGTGTTTTTGTCAATTGTCTCCAAGCACAAGGCAGCCAGTTGTGGCTCATCAAAGAGTCGAGCCTGCAAAATTTTGTCCAGTTCTAGATATCAATTCATTATCTGTCAATCTTAAAATATCTTTAATTCAGTAATTTTCTAATGCAGATCAACTTTAAAATGCATTTTACCTTCCATTTTTCAGTTGTACAAAGAACAAATAAAACAAATGGAACAGTCAAATCAAACATAAAGGTAAGTATGTATACAAATCACTCCTTGAGGTACTATACCTGAGTTAGAAGCATAAATGCATTATCTGAGGAGAGGTTACGCTTGAGAAAATCTACACAGGCTTGTTCAAGAGCTGGAACTGCATACTTCTTTGCCGTGTACAATACAGTCATCACCGTCTCTGGTCCAATCTGCACCTCATCACTAGAGTGAGTGGGAAGTTACTTATATCAAATTCAGTGACTGGATATGTGTTCAGAAGGGCATGAACAACTCATTTACCTTTGGTAAATGCTTAAAAGGAATTGGTTTACATTATATATTGAAAATTTACACACCTTCATAAAAACAAACTATAATCATTTATTCTTATTAAGTACAACATAGTGCATAAATCTAAGGGATCAAAATTATACAGCACACACACTGTATCACATATACATTCACACAAATATTCAACTCACTTTTTCACACCTATCTTCTTCAAACAACCATTAACCCGATAACTGTTACACACAGTATTTGCTGTAGTTTGGGGCGACAGCGACATACAGCATTTGCTGTAGGGGTTTTAGATCCATATGTCAAATTTCCCATGCATGCATATCTTGTTTAAAATAGCACAAAAATCTATTTTCTTGAATTTATTAATTTTTTTTTGTCACTTTTTGCACACCAGTTTTGCCAGATTTCTTGAGTGTTCAGTTCTCGGGTTAACATTGAATGTGAAACTGAATTCTAAATATATCTTCATTTTCCCCCTTTGTCCCTCTCTGCTCACCTGTACAAGAATCTCAAGAGCGCCAAGAAGGCCTGTGGCTCTACGTCTGGCAGTTCAATCTCATCCTGATGGGTACTTAACTGCCCATTGAACATGGCATCAAAAACAGCACTGCCCACTGCCAGCACAAATTTATGGGCTGGAATACGTTGCCTTGAGTCTCCCTTGCCGACCAGGAAATGAACATCACTCAATATTTCATTGTTGAACAAAAATGCAAATCTGAAACCATTCAATTGAAGTGTATAAAATACAAGTCAGTATTATATCTGGGCATAAATAAGGCACAAATACACTTCTCCTGTCTTAAAAATCAATAAAAATCAAACTACTTACCCATCACTCAATGGTATAGTGGGTTAGAAAAAAAAAGAAACAAAGACAGAAAGCAAAGAAGAAAAGGAGAAGAAATTTGTACAAAATATGACAACTTCATGCTAAAACATATTTACAATATCTATGCTAATCATATCTACAAGTGTGTATGACAGAGAGAGAGAGAGAGAGAGAGAGAGAGAGAGAGAGAGAGAGAGAGAGAGAGAGGGGGGGAGGGAGAGAGAGAGGGAGGGAGAGAGAGAGGGAGGGAGAGAGAGAGGGAGGGAGAGAGAGAGGGAGGGAGGGAGAGAGAGAGGGAGGGAGGGAGAGAGAGAGGGAGGGAGAGAGAGAGGGAGGGAGAGAGGGAGGGAGAGAGGGAGGGAGGGAGGGAGGGAGAGAGGGAGGGAGGGAAAAGAAGAGGGTGAAGGTGAGAGTGAGGGAGGGAGGGAAGGAGGGAGAAAGAGAAGGAGGGAAGGAGGGAGAAAGAGAGGGAGGGAGGGAGGGAGGGAGGGAGGGAGAGAGAGAGAGAGGGAGAGAGGGAGAGAGAGAGGGAGAGAGGGAGGGAGGGAGAGAGAGAGAGAGAGAGAGAGAGAGAGAGAGAGAGAGAGAGAGAGAGAGAGAGAGAGAGAGAGAGAGGGAGAGAGGGAGAGAGGGAGAGAGGGAGAGAGGGAGAGAGGGAGAGAGGGAGAGAGGGAGAGAGGGAGAGAGGGAGAGAGGGAGGGAGGGAGGGAGGGAGGGAGAGAGGGAGGGAGAGAGTGAGAGAGTGAGAGAGAGAGAGAGAGAGAGAGAGAGAGAGAGAGAGAGAGAGAGAGAGAGAGAGAGAGAGAGAGAGAGAGAGAGAGAGAGGGAGAGGGGGAGGGAGAGAGAGAGGGAGAGGGGGAGAGAGAGAGAGAGAGAGAGAGAGAGAGAGAGAGAGAGAGAGAGAGAGAGAGAGAGAGAGAGAGAGAGAGTGAGTGAGTGAGTGAGTGAGTGAATGAGTGAGTGTGTGTGTGTGTGTGTGTGTGTGTGTGTGTGTGTGTGTGCAAATCCTCTTACATATATTCTTGGTAAATAAAGAGAAATAGTCACAAGAATTTGATACCATTGAGTGTAAAATCAATCATGAGAGTAGAATCACTGAGGATAAGCAACAACAGATGCAGCCAGCATTAAACTTTTGCCTATTACCCACAGTAAAAAAGACAAACACAAGTTGTAAAAAGGACAAGCTATAACAGAAATTATTACTTTTTTATATTACTTAGCTTTTGTATGAATAAATAACTATTTTCAACTGACAGAGTGGCTCATATTTCTCCTATCAGAAAACTTGAATCTGATTTATGATAAAAAATTTGTTGGAACTGCAAGTTATTATATTTATCTTTACATTCAAAAAGAAATGTCTAAATGTTGATAGTAAAAGATATTAATTACTTTTCAAAAAAAAAATTATCACAACCCCTGTTCTCCTTTACTATATACTTACTCTCTACTAAGGTCAGATAAAGGTTATATACACATAATTATATGATCTATCCTACCTGTTGATGTATACCACTGTCATTATCATTTACTAAAATGCATCTCCTGTTCTTAAGAAATGACAACAGTTTTAAGACAATCTAAAATATCATGGAAAAGATATTGACATATAATGCATTTACATTTCTTTGTTTCTTGGCTATTTCATTTGTTCTGCTGTTCAACTATCTATCTAAATAAAGTGAATCTCCCTGCTAATATCATAAAAATCCTGGTGCCCAAAATCTCACTGTAATCATGTGTACCTTGAATCCTGTGCATCATTACTATTACTACTACTACTACTACTACTATAGTACTTCTACTATTGTTAAAGCAACTGTTTGTAGTCTATCATTAGGTCCCTGTAAAAAGAATTCCCTAAAACAAAATAATATAAAAATGAAATAATTTTTTTTTTTCTTACATTTCAGCTATAATGCTAAATGAACTTTACATGAATATACAAACAATAAACAAATAAACAGGCAAACACACATGTGCACACACAGACACACATCTAAAACTATGATAACAGTAATGTCATGGAACAAAACATTTCTGTTAAGTAAAATGTAGATGTGGTGGATGAGCTGTTTTCCATTAAGAAAACTGTGTTTTTTCTTATTATTCTTCAGAAAATTTATTTACTATAACAAATTTTCATGTAATCCTTTGGTTACATGAAAAAAAAGTAGACAGTAGGATTACATGGCACCAGTAGGCTAAGATCTGAATGTTTCAAGTGCTGGCCCACATGTGCATATTACAATGTATCTCTTAGCCCATCATGAAAGGGTGACATTTAGAACTTCGAACCAGCCCTATGTCCTTAGTATCTGTTAACTTAAATAAGGGGATTTTAATGCCACAATTAAAGGTAATTGATTATTTCCAGTATCATCATCATCGTTATTATTATTATTATTTTTATTACTTTTATCATCATCATAGCTAGGTGGGTGTAGATCCACCACTGTGTATACATATACACAGAGGTGGATCTACATATAAAAATATGTACATAATGTACTTATTTTTTGTCTATTTATATCAGGGTAGTTCTCAATTCAATGGCTTATCAATATATTCTAAAGCATTAATAAAGCACTTTAAAGCCAGCATATGCATACTGTGGGAGTATTAAACTTTCATTTACACATGGTGATTATTACATGCCCATTATACAGTTAATAGGTATGTTACCGGGCAATAACACTTTTGACGTGTCTGATGTCTCCACTTAATGCCTACCCTATCTAGCAGTCACCAACTCATCTCCACTAGCAAGCCTCCTACTTTAACACAGTGAAGAATTATGGTATGTCCCTCCTAATGCCAGGAAAATACTACTCAGTGACTAGCTATCCAACAATTTTCTCCATGAACTGGCAAAAATTGTGTTGGAACACTGGAATTGAGTTGGTTGCCAGAATCAAGTAAGTCTAAGTGGACATGCCCTTTATACATGTGTGTCTGTGTGTTTGACATAATAAAATATCTACTTACATACCTATATCATTATTGTCATATAATAGATAGGCAATTTTGCTGAAGCTATAAACAAGCATATAAATGAAGGTACATGCATTTCTCTGCAAATCTTATTCAGATGAGTGAGTCAGAGTGAGTGGGTGAGTCTATTTGTTAGTGTGGGTGTGTGTGTGTCTCTCTCTCTCTCTCTCTCTCTCTCTCTCTCTCTCTCTCTCTCTCTCTCTCTCTCTCTCTCTCTCTCTCTCTCTCTCTCTCTCTGTGAGTCAGGGTGAGTGGATGAGTCTATTTGTTAGTCTCTCTCTCTCTCTCTCTCTCTCTCTCTCTCTCTCTCTCTCTCTCTCTCTCTCTCTCTCTCTGTAGGTGTGTGTGTGTGTGTGTAGGTAGGTGTGTGTGTGTAGGTAGGTGTGTGTGTGTGTAGGTTGGTGTGTGTGTGTAGGTTGGTGTGTGTGTGTAGGTAGGTGTGTGTGTGTAGGTAGGTGTGTGTGTGTAGGTAGGTGTGTGTGTAGGTAGATGTGTGTGTGTAGGTAGGTGTGTGTGTGTAGGTAGGTGTGTGTGTGTGTAGGTAGGTGAGTGTGTGTGTAGGTAGGTGTGTGTGTGTGTAGGTAGGTGTGTGTGTGTGTAGGTAGGTGTGTGTGTGTGTAGGTAGGTGTGTGTGTGTGTAGGTAGGTGTGTGTGTGTAGGTAGGTGTGTGTGTGTGTAGGTAGGTGTGTGTGTGTGTAGATAGGTGTGTGTGTGTGTGTAGATAGGTGTGTGTGTGTGTGTGTGGTAGGTATGTGTGTGTGTGTGTAGGTAGGTGTGTGTGTGTAGGTAGGTGTGTGTGTGTAGGTAGGTGTGTGTGTAGGTAGTTTTTTTTTTTTTTTTTGTGTGTGTGTGTGTGTATGTGTATGTGTATGTGTATGTGTATGTGTATGTGTATGTGTGTGTGAGTGTGAGTGTGTGCATGTGCATGCATTTGTACATGTATAATTGTGCATGCATGTGTATGCTCCTGTATACAGGTATATATTTACATACTACACACACACACACAGAAATATACATGCTATCTCTCTTTCTCTGCCTTTTTCTCCCTCTAAAACCCATCGTGATCTTAGAGTTAGGAGAAATGACAACCCCAAGAGAGAAAACGGGTAATTAATGAGAGGGCAAAAGTAAGTGGGAATTTTAGAGGGAGCTTGCTTCAAAGAGCAGATTAGGCCCGTCTCCTGAGCAGTTACTTAGTAGTACCTTTCCTTAACAGTAGTCATGGTGGCTTGCCAGTTATACATGGGTCCTCCATTATTGGTGCCAGGAGTAGCTGTGCTAGTGGTAGTAGTAGAGGATGTATTGGTACTGGTGGTAGCAGGGGGGTTATTGCAACCACCCGAGGGCGCATTGGACACTTGGGCTGGATCGCTGCTGGTAGTTGTGGTGCCTGTGGTATTGGCTGAAGCAGGTGGTGGTGGTGTGGTGCATGAGGATGGTACCTGTGATGGCAGAGGTGCTGAAGCTGGCTGAGGCAGCGGCGGAGGGGGGGGAGGAGGAGGAGAGGGAGGACTGGCGGCACCAGGAGGGGCAACAGGAGGGCCGGCAGGGGGTAAGCCTGAGGGGGAGGCAGGGGGCTGTGAGGGGAGGTAGGGTGGGAGGATTGCAGGGTTATTGGGGGGGCCGATAACTGGGTGTGGGACTACAGGGGATTGGGGGATGCCAGCCCTCCTCAGTGATCCGGCTGTGCTGTTCACGCTAACATGGCTCGGGTGCGAAGGTGGCGATGCTGGGGATGGTGGTGGAGCAGAAGCACTACTCTCTGTACTACTTCCTGCAAAAGAAGGTACTTAGTAAATATGGAGATATTGAAACATGTGGCTTTTCCAATGAGCATGTATGTTGTAAAAAAGTGATTTTAGGACTGGAATATTCTTTATACTAGAATTTTAAGTAAAGTTACCATGCAACATAAATTTAAAGTTTATCTTTATTAATCCTTTTTTGGTTAATTAAGGAATTTATCTTACATTCCATGTTAATGATTGTTAAATGATGAAAAAGAGAAAAAGGAAATTATGAACACTGCAACAAATTTATATTCCAAAATCTAAAAGAACAAGCTAACTAAAAGATTACTTGAGTGTTCTGTCAAAATATGAAACAGTTTCCTAAAGCAAAAAAAAAAAAAAAAAAAAAAAAAAAAAAAAAAAAAAAAAAAAAAAAGAAAGAAAGAAAGAAAGAGTAAAATTTTTCTATATAAACCATGCACTTCTCTTGCTATATAACATGTAATAAATGTAAGTGTAATTTAATTTGTTTCTTATCATAAAAGTAATCTTCACTAAATGAAAACCAGATCTGATCCCTTCAACATGCAATTAATAAATTACGTATTGAGATATACAGTAATGGGAATTAGGAAATCTACTCTGGCTTGATTATGGTGCAAAAATATATGTTCTGTCTAATGCCATATACATGCACTGCCATCTAAGTATACTAAATATATATACAGAACACATACAAATATTCATATATTGTAGAGAAGTGTAAACTTGAAATTTGGTTATGCATACTTATCACAGTAATGGCTGCGTGTCATCTAGAAGTGACAAAAATAACTTAAGATCTTATCTTTTCTTAGAGGCCACAATACTTTTGCATAGTAAGACGGTACTAATACTATCAAACAATAAAACAGTGCCTGATTCTGTAGATTATTGAAACAGATGATTATAAAGAGTACTTATTTGAATATCAAAAAGCTGCATACTGCAATTTGCCAATCTTGTAACTCTAATCCTTCTTATCACTGGAGTAGAACACGTACTGGGTTTCTTTTCTCCCTTAGTACCTTCATGCAAATATCTCATTAATTTTCACAAATTAATAAACATTTCTGAACAAAAAAAAAGTGTACATTAACAATATATTTTACACATCAAACCATCACAAATATCAGGACAAAAGGGATGTATTCCATTACATCGATAGATGAAACAAAGTTAGCCAAAGCAAATAAAGCAGATTTTAACTTGAGGACTGTGTGCTGAAAATTTCTGGCTGCTGAGGATAGGGTACAATCCACAGTGTGTTAAGTTAATTTTATTCACCAAATGATGCTATATATATTTATTTTCAATTTTATAATAAAGGAAAAAAAAAAAGTGGTTTATGATGCAGCTTGGTATAGGATTAAAATGAATAGTTCCACAGTCAATGGGTCTATATGCTGCAGAGCATTTTTCAACATCATCATATACAGTACATATATCCATCCACTGAATTTTATCAACAATTAGCTGACATTAAGAAGGAACAAAACAAGTGGTTTGAGACACCTACCAAAAATCTATTGTACACAACATGAGCAATTCAACCCTATTTATAATAAAGCATTCAAAACAACTAACTACAAGGGTAACAATAAGTTGTATAAAACTAAACTCAAGAATACATGGACTCTGGTAATTACCTCTGACCCTATGCTAACAGATGTATTCAGTACAACTACTTTCTAAAATAAAGGAAATGCTAGTATACACTAACCTGAAGGAAGGGGTGAGGGAGATGAGTGAGCAATATTTGCTTGGTGGTTCGATGGCCTCCCAGGAGATGTGGTCACAGAATGGGGAACGAAGCCGTGTGCCGTTCCTCCGCCATTATTTCCTCCGCCAGGGGCTGGGGTATAGACTAGACATTCTTCTGAGGAACTGAGGTCTGGGTCACGGACATTGCGCAGGCGTGAGAAGGCGCTGTTGGAAGGCGTGGAGTTCCCAGACCATGCCATGCCTCCAAAAAGTCATATACACCCTAGAATATGTTAACGGTGCATGAGTGGATAGGAATTTTAGTCTGACAGTTCTATAACTATTAAATTATTGTTTTCTAATTATATATCAATCTTTAAGGTTCATGACTCCACCTAACATGTACTACAAATATATAGATAAATCTTGTATTACACAATGTTAACCCATTGCTGCAGGGGAAAATGAATAAAAAATGGGGAAAATACTGTACTCATTTTTTATATTTTTGTGAAATATCTCTGTACATAGATGGCTCTGCTAGTCCTGATTTCACCTTTCCTTTAAGTGGCGGACAAAAAACGTATTCTTACTAGTGCTATAAATATAGATGGTGTTATTTTTAACAGCAAATTAGGATAATGTTAAATATTTTCATAAATCGATGAAAAGGGTGAACGGGCGGGACAGGCAGTACTCGTAATTGGGTCACTGGTGACTTGGTACAAGTGTAGCCATCTATTTGTAAAAACAATCAAACAAGTCAACTCACAGTGGGCATGGCATGTACATACATGCCATCCCCGGCGGCAATGGGTTAATTTTTTAAAGCTGTGTTCAACTGGATTTCTCTTTCCCTGTCATAATTACAGTACCAGACCATTATAGCTGTAGATAGCCTATTTACTCTAATTTG